AGGTCCGGTGGCTGTACGAGCGTCTCAGTCAGCCCCAACCTCTAGCAGCGACATTGACACGGCAGAGGCGGGCTCACTCACAGCAGCCAGGCGCACAGGAGACTGTGCCATAAATGGAGGGTATCATGACATCGGCCCCCGCGTGGCTGGGGCTCCCGCGGGAAACGGGGGGGGGGGGATGGAGTGTCGCGAGTCGTGGAAGGGGCGCGGGCATCGCGGGGAAGGGGGAACGGGCGTGGGCAGAGCAAGCGCACCGCATTGGCCGACATCCCGCAGCGAGGAAGTTGGCGTCACGAAGACGGGAGGAATCGACGGGGGAAGGACGGAGGGACTCGGGGCTGCCGAAGAGCCAAGGCGGCTGCGGCCCCGCTGCGACCTGCAGGCGAAGTCAGAAGGGGGGGAGGAATAGGCGCGGTTTCATCGCGAGGGCTGGCTTGGCGAGTGCGGGAAGTGAGAGCGGGCAGTGTGGTTGAAGGCCAGGATCGAGCCGCGCACCGAGCAGCCGAGACCAAAGTGGGCGGCGGTGGGGAGGGAGGTGGGGGCGAGGGCGGCGGCGGTGACGGCGGCGGCGGTGACGGCGGCGGCGGCGGCGGCGGCGACGGCGAGCCGGACGGCGGCGGCGCAGGCAAGGCGGAGGGAGGCGGCGGTTTAGGCGGCGAGGCTGGCGGTTCGGCGGAGGGCGGCGCCACTGGCGCAACCCCGGTGTCCGCGCACTCGCAGATCGCGTCGCTCGACTCCAATCGAGTGGTGCACTCCATCGAGTAACCGACGAGGCACGAGTCCCCAAGCTCATCCCAGGCGACGGTGCAGGTCCGCCCGATCGACGCGCAGTAGCCATCGCACGTGCCGTACGTCGTCTCGAAGTTGCCGACGAGCACCTTGCATACGTCACACACGAGGTCGACGTCCGGCCAGCTCTGCTCGTCGCATGCACCTGGTGGCAGCGGCGGCGGCGACGGCGGGCCGGACGGCGGCGGCGGAGAGGGCGGCGGCGGCGACAGCGACGGAGGCGGCGGCGACGGCGAGGCGGAGGGCCGGAGGGGCGGGACGGCGAGAGGCGGCGGCGACGCGGAGGGCGGCGGCGGCGACGGCGATGCTGAGGGCGGCGGCGGCGACGGCGATACGGATGGAGGCGGCGGCGACGGCGAGGCGGACGGCGGCGACGGCGACGGCGACGCGGACGGAGGCGGCGGCGACGGCGACGCGGACGGAGGCGGCGGCGACGGCGATGCTGAGGGTGGTGGGGGCGAGGGCGGCGGCGGCGAGGGCGGAGGAGCGGAGGCGAGGGCGGCGGCGGCGAGGGCGGCGGCGGCGAGGGCGGCGGCGGCGAGCGAGGAGGGGGCGAGGGCGGCGGAGGCGACGGGGGAGGCGGCGATGGCGGTGGAGGCGACGGAGGAGGGGGCGAGGGCGGCGGCGGTGAGGGAGGCGGCGGGGGAGGGCGGCGGCGGCGAGGGCGGCGGTGGGGAGGGAGGTGGGGGCGAGGGCGGCGGCGGTGACGGCGGCGGCGGCGGCGGCGGCGACGGCGAGCCGGACGGCGGCGGCGCAGGCAGGGCCGAGGGAGGCGGCGGCGTAGGCGGCGAGGCTGGCGGTTCGGCGGAGGGCGGCGCCACTGGCGCCACCCCGGTGTCCGTGCACTCGCAGATCGCGTCGCTCGACTCCAATCGAGTGGTGCACTCCATCGAGTAACCGACGAGGCACGAGTCCCCAAGCTCATCCCAGGCGACGGTGCAGGTCCGCCCGATCGACGCGCAGTAGCCATCGCACGTGCCGTACGTCGTCTCGAAGTTGCCGACGAGCACCTTGCATACGTCACACACGAGGTCGACGTCCGGCCAGCTCTGCTCGTCGCATGCACCTGGTGGCAGCGGCGACGGCGGGCCGGACGGCGGCGGCGGAGAGGGCGGCGGCGGCGACGGCGACGAAGGCGGCGGCGAGGGCGCGCCTACCGAGCACAAGTACGACCCGCCGAAGGAGGCGCTCTCGGCGTACATGCTCTGGTCGATGCAGGAGCGCAAGTCGGATGCCTACGCCGGCATGAAGGTGCCCGAGGCGGGCAGGGCGCTCGGCGCGACGTGGAAGACGATGGACGAGGCGGCGAGGGCGCCGTGGGTCGAGGCGTCGAAGGAGGACCACGCGCGGCACGCTCGCGAGATGGCGAGCGACGTGCCCAGTCCCGAGTTCGCGCGCGAGGCTGCCGGCAGCTCCGGCGCGGCCGAGAAGGCCGGCGCCAAGCGCACCCGCCCGCACGCCACGGATGGCGGCGACGCGCGATTTGGCGGCCTCTCTGCGAAGGCGTGGGGCAAGCAGCGCGCACCATGAGAGTCGGAGAGAGCGCGCAGTTCCAGCAAGATGAAGAGCGCTGCACCGGCCCGCCATCCAGCAATGAGCACAGACCCACACATGAGGTCTCGTCGTTGTGAGAGGAGGACACGTGTGTGCGTGTCTAGGT